TTCATTGAAAAGAAAAACAAAAATACTATTTCAAGAATTGGCAGCAAATATGTATATAGTATTTTTTATTAAATATCTTACAATTAAGGAAAAATTACAGTAGAAAACATAAAATCTTGAGATAGAGCTTAGAATATTAAAAAAAAAGATAAAGATCTTAACATAGACAACAAAATAAGAAAGATAAAAATTCAAGTTTAAAAATGAAAAGTAGACCTAAAATAGTATATTAAAAAGCGCGTTTCGTAAGACAAATTTTGTGAAACGATTTCAGGTTTATAAAACGAGCAGCAAAGCGCGGGTTTTATAAAGAACGAGTTCCCATAACTGACTTATGAAAGGAGTTTGTTTTATGCTATCTATTTTTTTCTATTTTGCGCTTTTTACGTTCTTTTTTAACATAAATGTCAATTTTTCAAAAATTAGAAACTTTCGCCCTAATAAGGTGGTGGTTGGTAATAATTAATAAATGTCCAAAGTGTCAAATCTTGAATATTTTTCAAAGTTTTGTTGAATTAACAATGAATATTGCAAATATTTCATGCACACCATAAGACAAATCGCTCAAAACGCAGCTGAAAATCACCATTACCAACCTGTAGAAAGTAAATTGTACTAGTCTATTTCAGCACCCAAACTGGTGTCGAAATGGCTCATTAAAGCATCGGTTTTGGTATCGAAATAAGCTTTCTCTCAGACGCAAAATAGAAAAACCAAATTACACAAGGCATTAGAATTCAATATTGATAAGAATTTAAAAAATTAAAAATAAATAAATAAACATGAAATTTCAAGATCTTGCTAGAAAAAATAAAAATGTTAAAGTAGTCTTAGAAGTTTTGAATTAAAACGCTAAAAAAAGAGCTCACGGAAAATCCTCCAGTTTAAAATTGTCTTGTTCATTTTTTGTAAGAGTTTTTGCTTTTTTATTTCTATTTTTTGAATTAGAGTTCGAGGGTTTATAAATGCGTTCAGTACGTATTAAAACTGTATCTGTCCAGTTCTCCGCCATTAAAATTTTCCACGACAATAATATCATCGTGTTGTTGGTAGTTAAGTTTGTACCTTTTCTGAAGTTAGTCTCATAAAATAAAGTCTCCGGGATAAGTATCTCAAAACTCATATAACTAATAATTATTTCCTGGTGTCTTGTCTCGTTAGCAGCGCCACCTTCCAACAATCTTAGCTCTCTCGCAATAAATACAATAACAATGGAGGTCCGCAATAAAATACAACCGAGTGCCGTTTGCTTGTCTACAACTCGGTAGGACGTAAATTATAATCATAATACGGTCCCGCCGGTATATTAGGACCATCTCCCGGTGGCGGATGCCCCAAGTATAAAAGCGGAGATCTCCTCGAGCGGAACCTGTCGGGAAGTCGACTCGCCGAGTTTCTGAATCCAGATACTACACTTATTACCGAAATGTGACAAGAACTGGGAGTTTATCACAAGTTGAAAAAGAGAGGCACACGCCGCCACCGCCACCGCCTCCCACCTGCCATCAAGCCATTCACATTTAAATTCCACCGAAAACACTAAATCAAAAATACAACGACGAAGGAAAGAAAGAAAGAAATAACCCCAATTCCGAACAATATAGCACTCAAATGTTGTATTTGTCACCTTTCAGATGCAAAACTGTCGAGGGGCAAGCGACTTGCTGATATTTTTCGCATATACACTCGTCAAGGGTGCAATTCGGGGTAATTTATTGCTAAATAATGTCAATTCCGAGACGGCAACGCGAAAATGGCTTTCAACAACGCGAAAATCTTTTACACACGAGAGTCACCCTTCGAGACGTTATTTTTAATTTTTTTTTAATTAATTCCATGTCCGGCATTGGAGCATAACACGGAGTAGGCTGGGACAATTCGATTGTTTTAACCAAGGGATAAATGCAAATCAGCCATTGTTAAGTTCTTTCAATTGTATTACTTAAAACGGTGTAACGCCGTTCTGATTTTTTTGTATGAAAGAATTGTATTAAGGGCCCTATTGTTTTACTTCGTTACGGTGACTCGATTTAAGCTCTATTATGTCCCGTTCGGAAACGGCTCAAAAATTTATCGTTTTTATTATATGAGGCCGCAGTTGGATAATTTCCGAGAGAGGATCTCCACGGCGATATTGAATCGGATGGTAAAAGCGTGTGAGAAGAATAATTATTATTATTTCCGCGTTTTTATACCCCTAACATTAGAATAAAAATAAATTTGATGTACAGGAAAAATGGACTTTTATCACTCGAGATCTTAATTTTTTTTTTTCATAAAGCATGGAGTTTTTAACCAAGTATTTCTCAAAATGCCAAATTTTTTGTTTTTAAATTTTTTCTCTCTCGTTCAAAACGCTCGTATTTTACTACCTTCAGTTTTTGAAGATGTCAACGTCTACATATTTTTTAAGATCTCATGATTTTAAAGGAATTAAAATAAAACACTAAGAAAGAATTAAATTTTTATTTGTATATTCTGTTATTTACAATCACCATAGAAAAATGTTTTTTACTCTATAGTACATTCTTTTAATAAAAGCTTTAAAAAAACATTTTTTTGTTGTTTTTTTACTTTCTAGTCTTTACTTATTGTTTTGTGAAATCACTAAAGTTTTCTTTTTTATTTTTGTTTTCGTTTTTTATTTTTGAAAGTAGTTTCGTATTTCTAATTTTTTTGATTTTTTGCTTTAGTTGGTTTTTAATTTTTTTTTTAATTTTTGAACTTTTTTAATCTTGTTTTATGAGTTCTTTTGATTTTTGTATTTCTTTTAATTTTATTTTTATTTAATTTTTGTATTATTGTAAATACAACTTTAAACATCCAACTGTTTTTTTTTTTTTGGAAATTACAATACTGAAATGTCACAAGTGTCGACATAATTAAGTTCCTTCTGCTGCTAATAAAATAAAAGCTTATCTTTAAAAAGCATTTTTATGTTTTTTTTTCTAGTCTATTCTTTTGTGAAATTATTTAAGTTATAATCTTCTTATTTCTTAGATTTTTTTTATGTTTTTGATTTTTTGCTTTAGTTGATTTTTAAATTTTTTTGATTTTTGAACTTTTTTAATTTTTCGTTTTAGGAATCCTTTTGATTTTTGTATTTCTTTTAATTATATCTATATTTTTCTCTCACTTATGTATTTTTATAATTTTTTTATGGACAGATCTGTCAAAAATTACAATAAGTAAAAAGTCACAAATGTTGACACAATTTAGTTCCTTCTGCCGCCAATAAAAAAATCTTATTTTTAAAAAGCATTTATTATGTTTTTTTGTTTCCTAGTCTTTACTTATTGTTTTGTGAAATCATTTAAGTTACAATTTACTTAATTCTTAGATTTTTTTGATGTTTTTGATTTTTTGCTTTAGTTGGTTTTTAATTTTTTTTTGATTTTTGAACTTTTTTAACTTTTTGTTTTAAGAATTCTTTTGATTTTTGTATTTCTTTTAATTATATATTTTTCTCTCATTTATGTATTATTGTAATGTTTTTATGTCAAAAATTACAATAAGGAAAAAGTCACAACTGTTGACACAATTTAGTTCCTTCTACTGCCAATAAAAAAAAGCCTATTTTTAAAAAGCCCTTTTTGTGTTTTTTTTATTTCCTAGTCTTTACTTATTGTTTTGTGAAATCATT